GTAATATATATATATATATATATATATATATATATATATATATATAATTCAAAGATATAGCCATGTTAGTCTGTCAAATCAGTCCATAAAGAGAGCCTGTAGTACCTTTGAGACTAACTGAAAGAAAGAAGTTGGCAGCCTGAACTTTTGTAGACTAAGGCATCTGAGGAAGTAAACTCAGGTCAACAAAAGCTCATGTTGCCAACTTCATTTTTCAGTTCGTCTCAAAGGTGCTTTACGATCTCTTTACGTACTGCAATTTAGGGGATGTTGCACATTTTGGTCCACTTTGGTCCACAAAAGATTGCCCCCAAACCGGCCCAATATTTATTGTTTCAGGACTTTAGGGGGGACTTCTGGACATATTCCAAGGGCCAGATTTGGTCCATGGGCCATACTTTTTCCACTCGTGATCTAGCCACTGTCCAATATTGGCTGTGGGTCTGGGGTGCATCTCACCAAGTGTGTAGATATTTGTGCATATTTTGTTAGTAGCTGCTGAGCTCCTAGGTTTGCAAAGCGATGTGTATAAAATGCCCTAAGCAGGCCAGAGTATCTTTGCAGTGAGAAAAAAAACAACAACAGTATTTTGGCCATCTCTCCTTCTCTCCTCTTCCCCTCCACCTCCTGCTTCCAAGAGGGAAACAGCAGGAGAGCACAGCCTGAATATACTTTTGGAGTTGGCAGGAGGAACTGAAGCGCAGAGGCCAACTCGGTCCAAGAATCTGTTACCCAGAAACAACGCTTGTGCATTTTTGTTCATTGTTTAAGAAAAGGAAGGGGGGGGGAGGGAAAAATTGGACATGTAGTTATATGGTAGAAAGCTTGTTGCCTTTGGAACCATCCCTAAGTAAATAGCCATGCTTAAAAATACCCTCGCTTCCCCCTCCCTTGCCTCTTTAATTCAGTCTGGTCTCTTCTTCTTTGCTTTGCTTTGCTTTTTATTTTTAAAAGAGAAGTAATTGTAGAACAGGAGATAATGCTAGGGCCAGCACCTTCACCCCGAACCAAAAATAGGATTCAATAGTCGATGTTCATCCCCATTGTTTTATGTGTGTTGTGTGCCTTCAAGTTGTGTTTGACTTATGGCCACCCTAAGGCGAACAGATCATGGGGTTTTCATGGCAAGGTTTCTTCAGAGGTCATTTGCCCTTGCTTTCTCCTAAGGCTGAGACAATGTGACTTGTGGATTAAATGGCCAAGTGGATAATCAAACCCAGATCTCCAGAGTCATTGTTTTACTCATTGTAAACCACACTGAAGTGTCCCCTCTCTCTCTCAATCTCTCTCTTTCTTGGACTTTCTCTTTGCTTTCTTTTCTTTTGGTAGCTTGTTGTGGGTTTTGATTAACAATGTGGAAATCAGTGACTCGGTTCTTTTATTCCATATGTGCATATGTCTACTTTGGAATACCAAGTTTTCTCAAAAACGTTGAATTACATTTCTTTTTGTGGTGTCGTAAGCTATCCCTATTCTTTCTATGCTATTTCTGCCTCTAGTGACAAATTCCTGTTAAAGGAATAACGTCCATGAATGCATCTACTTTATTAACTGAGGTATAACAATATATGGCATGAGTTTGTGTAGACTTGGTCTAGATCCATAGATGCATGGAGTGTTGTTCAGGAAGGAGCTTTATAACCAGACTATATGAATAGCCATAGAAATGCAAAACTTGAAGGTATGATGATGAGATTTTGCAAAGCTTTGCATTTCTATGGCTACTGAGGAAGTAGACCCCATCTACAAAAGCTCACCCTACAACTTCTTTCGCGGTTACTTTCAAAGGTGCTGCAAGATCCCTTTGCAGATTGATATTCCAGACTAATACATCTATGTCTCTCAGGTATACCTATAATATAACAACAATAATTTCCATGCACATGAAAGCTGTGTTTGTCTGCTTTGGTCAAATCTGGAAGACTGTTTCCAATTTTTGGCATTATGGTTCAGAAAGGGTATTGGCAAGCTAGAACATGTCCAGAAAAGGGTGACCTAGATTATCAAAGATCTGGAAACCAAACCTTACAAAGAAGAACTGAGACAGTTGGATATGTTTAGCTTGGAGAAGAGAAGACTAAGAGGTGATTATGATACCTATTTTTAAATGTCTGAAGGGATGTCAGGTAGAAGATGGAGCCTACTTGTTTTCTGCTTCTCCAGAGGCAATGAACCAAAGGATTCAAATTAAAAGAAAAGATTATACCTAAACATTAGGAAGGATGCCCTGACAGTAAGAGCTATTTGAGGCTTTGGCCACGCTGCAGAAATAAAGCAGTTTGACATGACTTTAACTTCTATGGTTCAATGCCATATTATTTGCAGTTTCATGAGATATTTAGCCCTCCCTTTCAGAGAGATCTCTTGTGTTTCACCAAACTACAAATCCCAGAACTCCATAGCATTGAGGCATGGAAATTAAAGTGGTATCAAACTGCAGTGCAGATTAGACCTGAGA